GAAAGTCCTAGAGTACTTAGGCACATCGAGTTGATTGACGACGAGGCTGCTGAATACGGTATAAAGATCGTCAGGATGAAGGATCGATTAATGGCGAAGAAGTACGGGTTCCGGAATCCACCCGGTATCACGTACTTCCGCAAAGGGAAGAATATTAATTATGACGGAGATATAGACGACGAAGAGGAAATCCTCGATTGGCTGACCAATCCTGAGAATATGGAGCTGACCGATCACATCGAACGGATCAATAAGAAGATGTTTCACAAAATAAGGCAGACCACTGATTATTTGGCGGTGTTCTTTTGTGAGTATTCGAGTATTTAAAAAGGAATTTTTAACAAAATTTCAAAATCGATATTATCGTGATAGAGTCGAAACACTGCTCGGTTAATTAAATTATATTTAAAGAAATATACTTTAATTAAGGTATTTCCAATAACGAAAAATATTTTACAAGTTTCTATTTTATCTATCTAACATGACATCGAATAAAAATATATATAACAGTTAAAAAAATAAGATTTTCGAGCATATCGAACGCGATGACGCGCATATGTTTAGACAGCAACGACTGCAAACAGTGTAGCAGGGTATTGACAGAGATCGAGCACATCGATGACGAGGCGGATAGCGCGGGAATAAAGTTCGTCAAAATCGATGATAAGCAACTCTCCAAACAATATGGCGTCTTCGCATTACCCGCAATATTGTTTTTTAAGATGTCCTCGAAGGAGCCAGTTATTTACGCAGGTACATAAATTAGATCAATTCAAATTCAAATCATCCACTGAATAATTTATTATTAATTCCGTAATAATATGCGTTTAAAGGCGATTTGTACGATGAAGATCAGATATTGCAATGGTTATTGACGCAAAAAGATCCATCCGGAGAGGTAATCGAAGATTTGGAGGGAGAAGAACTTTTGCATTTGATAAGAGAATCGGAATCGTTAGCAGTGTACTTCTGTAAGTCTGACAGTCCTTCAACCTCGGCCAACTGCCAAGCAGGAATGTATCTCTAGCCTGTTGCACGGCACTGTATTTCTAATATTTTCATATTTTCTTTTTTACATTTCACAATTCATTCCGCTCTTCTTCTTTTATGAATCATAAAAAATTCAATTGTAAATATTCCCATTTAAATATCGATATAATTCAAATCTCTTTTCATTGATAAAAATTTAATCGATTCATTTCGATCATTTAAACTGTAATGATCGATAATATTATTATTGTACATATGTATATATTGAAATATTTTGAGCGGATTACCTAATTATTATATCATATCCTGTTTCCTTCCACGCTACACGTTTTTCTCTGCTAAAGAGAATAACAGCTGATCATAGCCAGCAACTTGTCTGCTATATATATTAATTCCTGCTCTGGAAACAAAGGCATTGAATTTTTGAAG